ATGACATGACATGACATGACATGACATGACATGACATGACATGACATAACATAACATAACATAACATACATATTAGAATATACACATATCATATACCCCAACTTCACCAAATGTCCTCAACCCGTTCCCAAACACCCCTCCGCCAGCCTGCTGCTCTGCCCCGGCATCGCCCCAAAGATGCCGAAGGACCGCTGCTCCGGCTGCCGAGGCGTCCCGCCGGGCTCTGGAACGCCCCGCGGACCAGGCGACGTATCGTCGATGGGCATCGTGGGTTCTGCGGCCAAGTCGGGCCAGGTCGGCGGCCTGTGAGGCGCCACCGGCTTCTTTCAGTCTAGGGATGTTTGGGATGCAAAGATCTGGCAGATCTAAGCACTTTCCACCTCGAACAGGGCTGAGGCTGAAGGGCCCCTGAGTTCTGCAACCTCTCGCAACCAGGCACGGTGGCCGCTTTTTGCAAAGAGTGACTACGGTGTGGGGCCCTCTCTTGCATTTCCAAGCCAAAGTCACTCCCAGCCAACAAATAAAGAAGTATGAAGAAGGCTCATAAGCCTTGCCAAGGTGCAAACCTAAACCCCCACACATTGCTGCAAGCAAAAGAACGACATAAATGACCAGCATCAAAGATTTTGACATTGAATGTCTACCCTTGCGATTCCACCTACTTACTGTGCCAAACCCCCCCTGATGTCGATGCCAACCCACCGGACCTCTCGACCCGTTGCCATCGTCCCTTTGGCCCCTCGACCCGCCTCTCGACCGTCGAGGGCGGCTCTCCCGGTGGCCACTCCTCGTGGCTCGTCGTCGCGCCCTGCGGTGGAGAGAAGCAGAGCCGGGAAGCAGAGCCCGGAGAGCCGGCGGTCCACCAGGAGTCAAAGACTATAAAGAGAATGGTCTGACTAGGCGACCCGAACAGGAATTTCCTTTACTTCGGTCCGTCCAAATGTAGTCCTTGGACTTCTAGGGTTTCTGGAAGGGGAAGAAGCCCCAGGGCAGACTCCGGCGCTACGGAGCACCAGGCCGAAGGATCGGCCACTCGGGTGGATCGGATCCCGTCGGATCCGTCGGCAGCGCGGCGCGGCGCAGCGCGGATCGCGCGGAGCGAGCGAAGGGGGGGCACCAAGGGATCGGTGTTGCCCCACCAACCAGCGAGCACCCCCGGTTTTCCCTAGCGGAAAAGCCTGGGTGTTTGTATGTGAGAGCTGGGTCCGGGCCACTGGGTTGCTCTCGACCTTTCAAGAATGCGTAGCTGGAGATCCAGAAGTTTGAAGGTGCCAGCACTCGCACCGTTTCTATGCACCAGGGCGTCACAAAAAGGGCGAACTTGGAGGAAGTCGGGGTGCCCAGAACATCCACTCACTTAGGGACTAAAAACATCTAAAAACCACCCTTTGTGACTCCTGGCATGTTCTTGCAACATCGTCGGATTTGAGAGTCAAATTCTGCTCCCATATCTTTTTGGCCCATTCCGCCTGCTCAAACGGAGCATCCCGCGTGGTGTCGTCAGCACCGATGAGATCTTTGTCATCCTGCGGCTGCTCCTGGGGGGGATGAGTCTGTCGGCGGCACAAAACCAACGCGCGGTGGCAAGCTGCGGTGGCAAGGTGTACCGTCCCTCAGATTTGCCTTTCAAAAAATACAGCATTAACCAAACTCGTCAAACACATCGGGTGCCTCTCAGTCTAATTGCAGGCGCATCAGCATCATGCTTTGCATCCTGGACCCAGTGGAACTTGGTCATCACTTGTCATCACGTCATTCTTCCTCCTGGCACCTCGTAAATCTGGCAGTTCTTGAAGACGTGAAGAACCACTTAACGACATCGAGAATTCCGTCGTCGATCCACCAGAACAAATGGCCCGCACCCATCCCATAGGGAAACTCTGAGGCATTCATGACAGGAAGAACCCATAGATATTGTTGAATTGCATTGCATGTTCAATACACAAGCATGATGACATGCATAACTGAATCAAGATCATAATTGCATTGAATTGTATATATGTATGTATATATATAACTCTATATATATATGGTCATTGTTCATTCAACTCTATCACACGCACATTGTGTTGGTCTATTCAAGTCTATTCAATCCTGAAATGATCCAATTCATCAAAATACATCAATGAAACCATACACTGACGCATCTTCCAAAGACCAACCATGCTCAATGCCCATCTGATGCTCCTTCTTCTTTTTCTTCTTGCTCTTCTCCTTTGTCCTCTCAGCACTTCGCTTCGTGTGACGTGTGACTCGTAGCATATATACTGATACTGATGCTCATGTGTTTTTTGGAGCGGGCATTCCGATGGATCTGTGTACTCATGTTGCATCAGCAAAGTAGTACGAGTAGTACACATACAGGACGGAGCAATGGATTCTAAGGATTGCTCAACCCCTCCCATCGGAGGAGGAGAAAATCTGTGCACCTAATCCATCCAAACCAGCAGGTGCTCTTCCCAAAGCGAGTTTCGAGCTTCACTCGGTTCCGGGCCCGTCTTTGTCTTGGAAAACAGGAAGCGACGAGGATCTTGTGTGGCACATAAACGATGGAGAGAATTTCACATGACTTTACTTGTCTAGTGTCTATATAATTCGAATTATCTCATCCTGCTTGTCACCAAGAAGTCCAAATCAATGCCGCTGATGTTCCTGCTGCTTCTGCGCCCGCGCCACCGCGCCACCTGCCCCCGTGCCTTCCGATGTGCCCGCCCCCGCCTCGTGGACTCGGCTTCCGTGGAAGCCGTGCCGCCCATGACTCGCCTGGGGCGGGTTCCACACCGGGCGCGTTCCGCACGGGAGCCCATCGGCCCATCCAGCAGCTTTGGAATGTGGGGTTCTTTCCCTATCCGTTTGGTCAAGACACCGAAAAAGTCTCGAACTGGGCTGAGGTGTGACAATCTCCTGTTTTCAGGTTCGAGCTGGTCTTGGGTTTGAATCTGCCCTTGGCCCTGCGCCTCAGTCAGGCCAGCACGCCAAGCACCAACCCATGGCACCAGCATGAAGCCGGAATCTTTGGGGCGAATTAAGACTCTGAAAGGATGATTCTTATTCAGAGATGTTGAGAGTTACTTTGGCGCAAGCGGGAAGACTTTTCAAGAGACCAGCTAAGAGAAAACGATGCATTGCAGTAATCGTGCCGACTGTCCTGTGGAGACTTCCTACAGCCATGCATCAAGTAACTCACGCCCTCATATCTTGAGCGGCATGTCTGAGTCTCAGCTGCAAAGCTCGATTGTTTCTCCGCCGTCGATCGACCGATGGAGTGAAGAACGGGCTTCTTGTTCCTGATAGCGATGGCCTCCAATCTACTTGCGATGGCCTCCACCCTAGTAGATTCTTGTTACTAGTTACTAGTAATGGCCTCCAATCTAATAGCGATGGTCCACCTAGTAGCTCTCTTGCTACTAGTAGTTCCTTGCTACTAGTAGCTTCTTGTTCCTCGATATCCTGGGTGATGCAAACTTCCGCATGTCACCCTCCGCAGTTCCCAGACTCTTGAGGGGACTGGCTTGACTCGCCATGACCAGAGCCAGCCCGGCAACCAGCAGGGTGCCTCAAAGAATTGGAAGTTGGAGGGTCTTAGATGTTGATTGCATAGCCAGGCAGTGGTGATACCGATTTCATCCTTGTGGGTCCCTCCATTGCTCTTTGGGCTTGTCGTTGAGTGGCTCAAATGCTGCAAACAAACTCAGATGTGCATGAAACTGACCTCGTGGAACCCCTGGAGTGCCAGCTAGTCATGCCTTTTTCCCGAAAGCATTGCGAAGGGTTCTTCCGGAAAATCCTTTGAACACTGACACTTCGACACTTACACTCAGACACACCTAGACATTGACACTTTCACCACACTGGCAGGATAAATAACATGAACGCTATACGTAGCTGTGTAAGTGGGAGAGCGAAAGCTGTCAAAGTATGCAAGTGGAAGTATGCAAGTGTAAGCACGGGTATGAGTATGCACGCAATGAGTATGCAAGCATGCAATGAGTAGGCAAGTGAACTAGCACGGGAGATGTCCTAATGAAAAAACATTTCCCCACTTTATAAATTCTCTCTTAAAGGCGGAGGGTGGGACGAACAGCGTCAACCGAAAGCGCAACCCTCTGCGGAGATCGTGCGTGTCGAGTGCGCGAAATGCAGGTGAGAGTGCGATGTGCCGGGCGCAACCCTCTGCGGAGATCGTGCGTGTGGAGTGCGCGAAATGCAGGCGAGAGTGCGATGTGCCGGGTGCCCGCGCAACCCTCTGCGGAGATCGTGCGTGTCGAGTGCGCGAAATGCAGGCGAGAGTGCGATTTGCCGGCTGCGCGCGCAACCCTCTGCGGAGATTGTGCGTGTCGAGTGCGCGAAATGCAGGCGAGAGTGCGATTTGGTACGCAGCTCTAGTACGCAGAGTAGCTGGGGAGCTGGAAGCTGAGAACTGGCGACGTGGTGGTGCGAGAGTAGTGCGCGGAGTAGCTGGGGAGCGGGAAGATGAGAACTGGCGAGTGGGTAGTACAACTTGAGGGCGTGGAGTATCTGGGGAGCTGAGAGATGAGCACTGGCCACTGTGTAGTACAACTTTAGTACGCGGAGCAATCTGTGGAGCTGGAAGCTGAGAACTGGCGACTGCGTAGTACAACTTTAGTACGCGGAGTAATCTGTGGAGCTGGAAGCTGAGAAGTGGCGACTTGGTAGTACAACTTTAGTACGCAGAGTAGCTGGGGAGTGGGAAGATG